CAGTTAGCATGGCTTGTTCTTCCTAGTAACGTGCGTTGTTGAATTAAGCACGTAATATACGGCGAGAACATTTAATACACGGCAGAGGTAGTGCGAAGTTGAGATAGAGAAAGGATGTGGATCCGGTGAACCGCAACTTTCGACCTTCACCTTAATAGGGTGAAGGAATTAATAGTGGTGGAAGTGCGCGGAATGTGAGAGTTACAAATGGAAAAGGGCAAGGTGGCGGATTTGCAAGAGATGGGTGAATTTCCTTGATTTAGAGAGAAAAAAATCCAACTGTGAACTACATAGGGTATGTTTTCAGGAGAACGAAATGCTTCTCCAGGACTTGGTGAGCGCCAGGAGATATCTACCAATTGAACGAGGGGTCTTGGATGAGCGCTACTACTCGAGCCCCGAGGAAGTTCTGCAGGAACTGATCCTCTGCCATCTAGAGAGGCAGAACATGAGTGAAACAACGATCGACATCGACGCTGAAGGTTATGCTACCATGACCGTTGTTGCTAAACGGTAGCGAATACCTCCGCAGTGAGTTAATAAAATTTTTTTTGTACTGTTCAAAATGGAAAATTGTCTAAAAAAATTTTTTTAGGCGAAATGCGGACATAAAACGGAGTGTGTCTAACTCCGCAGGGCCTTCCCGAGAACAAGTGGAAGGGGAATCATTCTGGGCACCCGCTTGGATTTGGGGTGCTCACCATAGTCAACCGCGGCTTGACGTTCGCAGATAAGGTGTAAAGAGGTCAAATGGCGTAGCAGGCGCGTACATATCCGCTGTCGCGGTCATATGGCCACAAAGGACCAATCTTACACATATCCTGATATTAATTGCTGTTTTGACCTCGCGCGCGACGATAAGATTGATAGCATAGAGGCTAAGCCGTTTTTGGCTGTCGGGATGCAGCTAATTAGTACAGCTGCTCGAGGAGGAGGTTGGCCGAAGAAAGCCAACCACTGGCAGTGCGCATCGGCCACCGGCAGCAGCCGGTTGCCTTCCCCCTCCCCCCTTTCTCCATTTTGTATATAACTATTTATAATAAATATTATGGGAAGGCTTATGTAAGCCCGCTACACATCAGGCAAGGGATCGCGACCCTTTAACCTGACATGGAACATAATTCATGAAGAACTGGGTTCATTTCCAGTTCCTCCCAGACCATTTGAGCGTCTCCACACTGATATAGTAGGCCCT